GTACATTGTTTCCCCCGTATAATTATGTTCTGTGTTAGGGTTCATATTATTACATAATATAAAAATAATAAAATTTCATTTTGCTTTTAAAATAGTACATTTTCCAAATATTTTCCAAAATTAATTATAAATATATTATTCTCATGTAAGAATAATCTTGAATTTCAGTTGTAAAATCCGAATGGGTCTACTTGCAAGATTGTTAATGATTTAAATCACGAGCCTTTGATAAGGTAGAAGTTGTGAGTTTCTATATATTTTCCTCTTGTAAAAGGAGGAAGCCTTCCTTGTCATTTTCTACCAAACTCTGTTATAGTGGATACATGCTAATCCTAGGTACCAAGGAAATTCATGCTCTGTGCTAGCTAATTAAAAGGGGAAACAAATTATATAATAGACAGAGAGTTTTACATTTTCAGGATCCCTAGCCTTAAGAATCACTAACAACTATGGATACTTTATTAAATATTAACATTTTTTAAGAAAAAAAGATAGCTCTTAGCTTTATATACTTGCTCATAATGGCTTCTATAAATTCTTACGTGGCATAGAGCCAACCTAACTATGGAACCACTTCTTTCCCATGTCACTACTCATCCTTCCAAATCTAGCCAGGTCCCTTTCATTAAATATTGTTGCAGCCTTTTTATGAGCTGTGATTTCTGACTGTGGCCTCATGGTTGGTTTGTTAAATTGTTGGGATTTTTTTCTTATATGCCACCCAACTTTGATGTGAAAGCGTGGACATATAATTGTTTAAACAAATAAATAAATAACCTCTAGAGCAAAGGTCCCCAACCCCCGGTCCATGGACCAGCACCATGCCACAGCATGCCAGAAACCAGTCTATGCAAACAAGCAAAGCCTCATCTGTGGGATGCAGACAGTACATGAAACCACGCCCGCTCTGGTCCGCAGAAAAATCTCTCTCCATGGAACGGTCCCTGGTGCCCAAAAGGTTGGAGAGCTCTGCTCTATAGTATGCCTACTTGTATCTGAGTCCATTCAGCACAACTTGAATAGGAGAAGTTATCGCAAAGAAAACTTCTTCTTAAAGCAATCTGTTCTTTTGTACTTGGGAGATCATACTACTCTACCTTTTTTATTTGATACTGATACTGCTTCAGGTTGTAGTGAAGATTATTAGAGAAGGAACCATCAGCATAATCAACATATCCTGTGACTTTCACCAATCAGGTTTGTCCTCTTCCTATTTTACCAGTACCACCAATATTTAGTGATCCTGTTACTTCCCACTTTTATTATCCTGACTTTTCCACACTTAATATCATAAATCCAGTGGTAAAGATATCATTTTTACACTACTGAAGCTTTTCGTGGGTCATATTAATCATGTATTAAGAGGCTTTTGAAACATATATCTTCTCAAGTGAAATATCAAATTGTCAATTTTCCTCATTTCTTTTAAGGACTGTGGTTTGTCTTAACTGTTAAATGGATATTGGCAGCTTTATTAGTCTTCCATGTACCAGTGCAAAGTTCTTCAATATTTTCTTATTCTACAGTTAAGCATTTAATTAAAAGATTATTCCATACTTGTTACATTTTTGGTACCTGATGTTGCTGCTTGGAATATCACTTTGAAATTCTCTGGACGTGCCAAAAACTCCTTTGAATCACTGGCAATCTGCCTTATTTGTGCACTGACCACTTTTATTTTGCATATAATTTTATGAAGCTTTCAAAACATTACAATTAATATTTGTTTAAAAATCTAATCCCATCAGGGAACATCTTTTTAAAACAACTAAACAAAACTAAAAATTAAATCTAGATAGATAGGCAAACCAGCAGTCACATATATACCCATGTAAAAAAACAACAACATACAGGTAGTCCCCAGTTTATTAACGAGTTCCGTTCCAGTCTGTCCTTAAGGCAAATTTGTATGTAAGATGGAACAGTGCTGTTGAATAATACTGTATAAATAGTATTGTCTCATGAACTTGAACCAGTTTATATTTAATTCAAATTTTGCTCAATTCATAACCATGACTCATCCATAAACTGAATGTTCTTAACCCTAGTTCCTACCTATACTTTGCCTTGTCTTTTTCTCCTAAAAATAGTTTTCAAGTTTTAGTTCACAAGATTATTTTTATAATGAGATTATAATCACTATAATAATAATTAATTATATAATAAATATAGATTATTGTAACAGATTATCTTTGCACCTTTTTAAGTTTTCTAGGCCTTGGAATAGACTGTACACTCCCTGGACTTAGGTGGGATGCTTGCCTTTTACTTCTTAACACTCTCTTCATTTGTGGTGAAAAAACTCAAATGGCTGTCAGTTTCTTCACAGCAGAGGTCTAAACAGATTGATAACACTATCTTACACTAACACTATCTAATTGTGCTATCAATTAATTCAGAGGACATTTGAGATCATTCCAGAAGGGCTGAATTCACTTAAGTTACAGCACTTAAATGTGGTTCTTTTTGACACCATAGATTAATTAGAATGCAAATAAATTGCTTATTTTTGTCTAAAAGTATCAAGTTCTGCAACACAGGCAACCTAAGGAAACAAAAAACTTTAGATTTCTGGAAAAATCTTTATTGCTGGTAGACCTTGAAAACCTACCAAAATTATTGTCCTGCACTACTTATATCCACTGTAATTAAGGTAGAACTACTCTTAAGTTCTCTCATATTCCCCCCCCCCCAAGAATCTCTTAATTGCCTTGCTGCTCCCTGTATTCCCAAGGTCTGTTAAGCATCTTATCACATAGTCATTTGCAGAGAAACAGAAACAGGTCTGTCTGAATTAATTTCTTTTCAAATCATGTTGGGATAAGTAAATTGCAAATATATAGTAATCCACATTAATAAGGATCAACAAGTAAGAATTTTCTAACTGTCAGGGCTGAAATAATGTTATCATGAGTTTTACTGTTCTATACCTCTGAATAGTTTGTATCCTTACTCCATGTGCTCCAGGGTGACTTGAGTGTGAACATCTTCGAAAGTGAAAATCACTTGTCATAGACTTTAATAAATCCTTGTTATTGTAACATGTTCTTGTTCATAATTCAGACTGGAATTTTATTTTATTTTTCATTACTGTTGTTTAAAAGATATGAAAACATGGCATCAAATTATTTGCAGAATAAATCCAAAAATTGCTTATCTTTTTGAAAAAGTCTGTGATGGTAAAGGAGTCATTTTCTATCATTTTCTGGGTTGACTCAGTATCTATTTTTAGAAATGAAGAAAATATATAAATTTAACAATTCTGTTTTGGAGAGATGGGTGTTACTTGTTATATTTATGACTAAAACTTCTCCCATACTGCTGTATAAGTTAATACAATAATCTTGTATTGAGATGTTTATTTTTAGATGAACAGACAGTTATTTGGATTGTATATCTCAAAATTATAGTATGCCTAATGATTACTACAAGTATATTATGGGTATAATATTTTAGAATAAAATTTTAAATTGGTTGAAAATTAAATATAAATAAAATATTCAAAAATAGCATACTAGGCCTTTTCCATTATATACAATCATATATTTTAACATTTTCAATTATGAAAATAAAATTTATTTCTATTTCTGTATGTCAGTAAAATACATATATAAACATAGATACATTAGGATTGTAAAGGCTATTCAGAGGCACAAGAATTTACTTTCAGTTGCTGTTCCAGCTAAAAGTGACTTACATGTACAGGTTAGGGTTAATGATAGCAATTTGGACTGTAATTGCCATCTCTAAGCGATGAGTACGTAAAGCATGAAATTACATGACCATGTCACTTAGCAACTAGTAATGCCAGCAATTCTGGCATTACTAGTTCCTGTTATTAAGCAAGAACATCTTGTGGTCACCATTTGCAATCTCCTGCCAGCTTCTTCATTGACTTTGCTTTTCAGAAACCAGCAAAGAAGTTGTAGATCATGGGGTGTCAAACTCGCGATGTCATGTGATGTGTTGTATCGTGACTTTTTTCCCATTGCCGACAATGGAGTAGGCACGGTTTTGGCATGACGCATCCGGCCTGCAGGCCGGCAGTTTGACACCCCTGTTGTAGATGGTAACCATGAGACACTGCAATGCCATAATCACAAAGTGAGTGCTGGATGCCTAGATTGCAATTACATGACTACAGGGGACACTGTGAACTCGAAAGACCTGTCATTAGTATCACTTGTTCAACACCATCACAAGTTTGAATGGTCGCTGAATGAGTGGTCCTTAAGCAGGGACCACCTGTATTCTCAGAAATCAAGAAAGCCTTAACACCTCAGTGTTCTGTGTAATAGGTTCAGAATGATATTTAGCTTCCTCTTTGAAGAACCATTGGAATGATTTGCACAGTCCATACACAGACATATCCACTTACACTTACATAACAATGCCCTGGATTTTAAACCTTTTCTGTTTTGTGTAAGAGACTGATTAAACATAATTATAAATAGTGCAGTAGAAGGGTGTAGTTTCTTTTGTGTATTGTATTAGTTATTACTGTATATAAAGCTCCCAGATAGAGCATGTCATTTTAATACAATATATATGGGAAATATATGGGAAAATATATATTTCCAAAGAATCAACTCTGAAAAGCACTAATTCTGAATTTGCTATATACCTATACAAAGTATATCCAGATTATGCTATATACAGTATGGTAAATCTTTTAAACATCCCTAATATGTAATAAGTAAATTACAAAGCTATAAAATTTCCATCAATATAGAAAAGTGTATCTTAATCTATTCAGCTTCAGTTACTTTATTTTGGCTCATAACCCTTAGAGACCTTTGTGTGTATGCATCTAAATTATTTCCAAATTTCTTTTTGTCCTTAGAATTTTTTTCTATTATAGAAGAACCTGCAGAATGATGTGAAATTAATTTAAAGAAATTGTGAAAGTACCGTTTGAAAATAGATTTTAACTATTTGTCATTTAAATTTTCTCCAAAAATATAATATTTAATTTAAGTGTATATTGTTTTAACTTCTAGGTTTCCTATGCCCGTCCAAGTTCAGCATCAATCAGAGATGCAAATTTGTATGTCAGCGGCCTTCCAAAAACGATGACCCAGAAAGAGCTAGAGCAGCTTTTCTCACAATATGGGCGCATCATCACCTCACGAATTCTGGTTGATCAAGTAACAGGTTGAAAAATATTTTTGTTTAAAAATGTCTACATTTCAATTTGCTCTTTTCATATGTATAATTTAATTTTGTTCTATGTTCTATTGCTCAAACGATTTAAGAGTTGCACATATTTCAATTTTATGGATAAAAGGAGGCTGCATGTCCACTTTAGTTCCAATATACCATTTGGAATTTAGTCTGTGGTTGAAGGATATTACAAAAGTATCATCAAATTTTGGTCACCCACTGGAATAAAGTTTGCCTTTCAGGGAAAGGCTGGAATGAATAAATAAATTACACTTTAAAAAGATATGGGAATATCTGATATTCTACCCTTATATAATGAAAGCAGATGCATAATACCTCTGTTTTTAAACTTTGCATACATTACAGTATGCATAAATGTTATACTGTCTATTTTTGCAAATCAACTTACTTAGTCGGTTATGTTATTTCTAGTAGGTGAGCACTTGGAACTTTTAATAGTTAGAAGGGACTTTGGAGGACTTCGGGTTTTCTTTTCCTTTATTTATTTAAATCTCATTTTCTTATTCCAGGTGTTTCTCGTGGTGTGGGATTTATCCGTTTTGATAAGAGAATAGAGGCAGAAGAAGCCATAAAGGGACTTAATGGCCAGAAGCCAAGTGGTGCTACAGAACCAATTACTGTGAAGTTTGCTAATAACCCCAGTCAAAAAACGAGCCAAGCTCTCCTTTCCCAGCTGTACCAGTCCCCCAACAGACGCTACCCTGGACCACTCCACCATCAGGCTCAGAGATTCAGGTAATTTTCTCTTTGCGTTACTCTCCTATTTGATTTATTATTGTTAATGTTGAACAATTTATTTGGTAAAAAAAAGACTCCTACGGAAATGGATGATTTTTTCAACTGTAGCCAGAATGTAACATTCAGCTAAACATTGCAAAGAAACTACAAGTTCCTTTACAGAAAAAAAAAAATCCTTTCCACAAGGATATGATTATCAGAGATTCGGAAGCAAGCACTAAATTATTCCCCTTAAACAGATAATGTTAGTATAAAAATGTATAGTTTCCTAATTAATAAGTAAATAGTTTTGTCTTAAAAAAGAAACAGGAAAATCTTTATTAGTATTATTAAAGTTGGACAGAAACAGTCAGTTGCTAAATATTCTTTATTGCTTGGCAGCCTTTTCAACAATTGGACTAGCTTTTTCAGATAACTGTAACAGTGAGCATCAGTACAGATTCCACTGGTACCAAGATCAGTTGAATATAATTTAAGTGAGCTAGAATTGATTTTGATACTTCTAGTTTAATTATACTGCTAATCTGAGGACAGATTATGGGATTAAGAATTCCACATATAGGTAGTCCTCGATTTACGACCATTCGCTTAGTGACTGTTCAAAGTTACAACAGCACTAGAAAAAGTGATGTACAACCAGATCTTGCACTTACAACTGTCACAACATTCCCATAGTCCCATGATTGGAGTCTTGGAATTTGGCAGCTGGTTTTCATTTACAACAGTTAACAGCATCCTGAGTCACATGATCACATTTGCAACCTTTTCAACCAGTTTCTGATAAGCAGTGGGGAAGCTTGCAAGGAAAGTTGCAAGTCTCTGTCGTGTGATGTCTCACTTAATGAATCATGATCCAAGTGAGGTCATAGGATGTCTCACTTAACAATCGCACTGCTTAATTAATTTTCCTGTGCTGATTTGGACATAAGGCAAGGACTACCTATACTGTTGAGTCATGAAATCCGCTGTCATTTCTTTGCATCCGCTTCTGTGTTGCAACACAGTTGTTTGTTACTATTAGAACAGGTTCCAAAATTAAAAGTGGTTTTATCCCGAGGAGGGGAGCGTCTCTAAAAATCCACTGAATTGTACCTTAAATATATTTGTAAAGTAGAGTATGACACATATTGGTAGCAGTGCTGAATAGCTATAGTTTAAAACTTTGCAAATCTTTTAAAAGCAACATGCTTTTAAAAGATTTGAAATATTGCATAGCATGTTAAACATACACAGCGAAATTATGGAATTCCTTGATATAGCTTTGTAAAATTAGGCCCATATAATTGATTTCTTTTACTTCTTAAAAGGCCACTCACTGAGAAAAAAAATCAGTGTCATTGGGGAGGAGAGATCATTCTCTAGGCCCCTAATATGTTGGGTGCTGCCGGGTTCAGTATTCTCTCGGTTCCTATTCAAAATCTTTACAAGGCTGCTGGGTGAGCTCATCCATCACCATAGGGTGAGTTATGATCAATATGTGGTGTCTATGCCACTGGCAAATTAAGCAATGCCATTATCTAGGACCTAGAGGCTCTGAGGTTCCGGATGGGGAACAACAGGCTTCGGCTGAATCCTGGCAAGAATGAATTATTTGAATTTGGGGCTTGCCAGTTCTAGGACTATGCCATCTTTAGTGCTGGATGGGAGTGCACTGCCTCAGATAAACCCAGCGGCCAACCTGAGCGTACTCGTGGACTCATAACTCTTGCTTCAAGGAGGTCTTTGAATAGCTTCACATTGTGACCAATTGCTCCTGTTCCTAGATTGGAGGGTTCTGGTCACAGTCATTCAACCCATAGTCTCTCTCGATTGGATTACTGTAATGTGCTCTACATGGTACTGCTCTTGAAGGGTACCTAGAAGTTTTAGATGAGACAAAATGCAATCACATAGGCAGTTATATGTGCTTCTGGAAAACACATACTACCCTCTCCTCCGCAAACTGTATTGGTTGCTAGTCTACTTCCGGGTTCAACATTCAGTTTTAACTTTAAAGCCTTTCATAGCATGGGACCAGTTTATCTGGGAGACCACCTCTCCCCAATTACAATTGCTTGTAATCCAATCATACCTGGCAAAAGAAGCATGTTGCAGGTCCCACCTGTTAGGAAATTACATTTGATTGTCCTGAAGAAGCATTACTTCTCTGCCAAAGTGTGGGACTCCCCTCCAAAGTTATGTGAGCTCCATCCCTACTTATTTCCAGAAGTCCCTGATGGCTTTGTCATCAGGCCTTGGGGTCTCAGAGAACAGGTCAGATTTGAGATGGCTTCTTTGTTAATTTACTTCCTTGCTTTTTTAACTTTGTAATAATGATTGGTGGAGTTTTGACATGTTTTATTGTTGTACACCACCCAGAGTTGTTTCTTGTGAGATAGTGACTATACAAATTTGGTCTATAAATAAATAAACCTGACCTAATTAATATGTAAATAGGGAAAATCTCTGTTACTATTACTTATTGAGCTAGTCTGCTCTACAGATATTTAAAAGAAATTTGTTCCCAACCCATCCCCGATAGGCAGTCTTCAATTTACACTCACAATTGGAACCAGAATTTTGGTTGCTAAGCTATGCAGTCATTAAACAAGCATTCACATGACTGAACCCAATTTTACAACCATTTTACTTCGATCATCAGTAACCAGCTGGGAAGATTGCAATCACGTGACCACAAGATGGTGCAACAGTAGTAACTCTGAGGTCAGGTTATAAGTCGCTTTTTCTAGGCCAGTGTAATTTTGAACCACTATTAAACAAATGGTTGTAAGTGGGGGTCTGCCTGTAGTGTGCAGGTATAACCTAGAATCTTAAACAGATAAAACAGCATGTTTCTTATTCTTCTGGCATAATTGTATTCAGCTGTTGAATAGTAATAACATAAATAGTTGAACAAATGATAGTTGTTAAATTTCATATTAATAGTGTGTGAAAACAAAACCACAACAAAATTCTTCTGTGCAAGATCAGACTTTGAGATTGTGGAATGTTACTTTTCTTCATTACTAGCACATCTAAAAATGGCATTAATTGATTGTAGTTTATAGCTGCTGCTTGATTAGAGCCACTAGATAATGTTGAAATTCCTTCTTTGAAAAGGGAGCATTATTAATAAAAGTTCCATTGAGCAATCTTGCCATCTGTGAGACATTAACCTAGGGACCCTCCTTCTCTTTTCAGGCTGGACAATTTGCTTAATATGGCCTATGGCGTAAAGAGGTAATTAAAATTCCAGATTGCCAGATGTCCATGTTGGCACAGATTGGTGCTATAATTTTTTTTAATCACTAACTTTATTTTGTTTTTAATTCCTTCTTTTTTTCCACCAGCATGCCAAACGTTTTCTGTCTTTTCATTTGGACTTCAGTTCATTTTCTTTAACAATGTGCACAAGCACATAGAAAAGTATGTGCCAATCTTTTATTTCATGTTTTCTGTTACAGGTTTTTTAGATGGTTTAGGTGCAACAGATACAAATATTACAATTCCAAAACTATTCTGTTTAATATTTTGGTGGGGGGGATCATGTTTCATTGAATCCAAATTTATTAATAGACATTTAATATACCTGCATAAATTTATAATTGCAAACATGGTTAAAATTAATACTGGCTAAATATTTCATGGAGCCAATAACTTTTCTTTTTCTTAAAATGTAACTGTATGCACCTTAATCAGATCCAGATTTTCTTTGTTACAGGTTTAATAGTGTTTCCAGTAATTTGGAGCTTGTGATTTTTCTACTTTTGGTTAACGGTTTGCTTGTTCTGATTTTGATTTTATTTTAATTCAGTTTTTAAGGTCATATTATTATAGCTCTTTGTTGGTTATATATGTGTGTGTGTGTGTGTGTGTGTGTGTGTATGTATGTGTATATGTATATATGTATATATATGTATATACACATATATATATATATATATATATATATATATATATATATATATATATATACATACACACATATATATCTATCAGTACAGAAGTTAAAGGAACACAAATCACAGAAGGATTAATCACAGAAGGATTACTTCACATACTTACAAGTCAGAAATGCTACATATCTAGGACAAAGGGCCTTACATCCTTATTGTAGCAGGATAATCTATGTACAAAAGTTACGTGCAAAAGATGCCAATTCATTTGCTCTGTCTCTCTTGAAAAAGAGTAAGTATTCCAGAAATAGGTAATATTGCAGACAAACAATATTTATGATGTCTTGTATGTTTACATTGTATGTACTGTACATCCTCAAACATAGATTATTCCAGGTTGTTTGGGGAACAGCAAAACACTGGTAAGTATAAGTTTTAGCTACCATAGGCATGCCCCCAGATGAATACATAGAAAATTGGAAAATTAACAATATCTTTCTCATTAGTGATTGTATAAGATTTCATAGTTCAAATTGTATAATATATAACCTGTCTAGATTGAACTGAGTTCTGTAACCTGCATAATATTGGTTATCCCAAAAGGAAATAGTATGATATATACTATACATATATAGTATATGTGTATTTGCTGGATTAATAAGAACTATGTGCCAAAAAAACGAATGAAAACATGTCTTTATAAATAGCATTTGACAGAAATAGTAATAGTTAAAAAATAGGGCTGTATTAACCTTCAGAGAGGTGATTTGGTTCAAAGGAGCGTTGATGTGTTGTCTCTGGTGACTTTTAAATGCTTTGGAGGACTTCAGATTCAGTAGTCTTTCTCACTTTGTAACATCTCGAAATATTGCTGCAACTTTTCTTCTGTACTATAGGATAAAGCTGAAGGAGCAGCCAGGGAATATAATCATCCTTCCAAATCTTGGGGTTTACTATTTGAGTTTCATTTTAGAACTATAATTAGATTAGACAGGTTATGTGGAGGAACAGTGATCCAGAGAAAGAAAAAGTTATTCTTTTTTTTTTTTTAATTAAAAAAAAAATAGGATAGTTTTAAGATTTCCTGAACCAAGCTCATCTCTTTTTTTCTTGGCAACAGAATAACAGTTATTTGCCATTACTCCTTCTGGCTGTTTTGTTTTGTCTTTTCATTATAACCTACATATCTGGTATTTCCTGATGGCCTCCTAACCATGTACCAATCAGCTCCTACCCTGCTTTTTGGAGTGGATGGGTTAGTGCTGCCATCTACAGCTCCTTTCCCTAAATCCATACCATTTTCTCCTTATCCCTTTATCACCTTTTTATAGTATATTTCCTTTCAGTCTGTTCCCTACCTATTTTAGCTAACTTTTGCTTCTGTGTATAATCCAGTTTTCCTCTATTAAAGGAAAACTATTTTGGATAAAATAGTGATATACATAAGCACTCTGTGACAGTGCTTATGTATATCAAAAAAAATCCTCTGAAGGCCAGATACATGGAATTATTTTTCTACTTAAATGTTATTTGTGCCATTATTGAAGTGCTTCTTTTAAAAAAAAATTGCAATGGGATTTCTAGTTCTTTATATTTAGCATCACAGCAACTATTCTCATTTATTTGAAATGAAAAGGTTATAAAGCACAATTTATGCTTAATTTGAATTATGAATTATTGTTGTTCAGTCACAAATAAGAAAGATATTGCCAGTTGTAGTGGTCTATACTACATAAGACCAAATGAGTTATGGATCAAATGCTGTTCTAGTCCTCAGGAAATCTACATATAAATTCCATCAAGCTTTGAAGGTAGTGTCTTCAGACTAATTGCTATATTTTAGTCTGCCAGTAGTTCTGAGCTTAAAATTGGAAATATGAGCTCCTGGAGGAAAGATAGGATATAAATACACAAAATAAACATTGATTCTGAATACAGTGGGAATATTTTGAAGAAAAATTACACCATTATTATGCAGCAAATTTCCTACAGATAACTCTGTAAACTTCAGAATTGTCAGTGTATGTTTAAAGCTAAATTCAGATGATTAAACTAGGTGATGACCAATTCAAAGCTTAACACATGGTGCTTGAATTTATGTTGGGAACAATTGTTTTTAAACATCTTGAACACACTGTCAAGGCAACAATTGTTTTTAAACATCCTGAACACACTGTCAAGCCTTACAATTACCACTTTTCACTCCCTTGATTTCTGAGTAGCTGTGAATATACTTTATTGCACGATTAGATAGTATAGGCTTATTCTTATGATAAGTTTTGAAATAGACAACAGAGCTCCTGGACAGAAAAAAAGTTGTCTAAAGATTATATATGATACAGATAAACATGAAAGGCTCTTGATCTTCTAAGTCTAAGAACTGTTCTAGGTACCTGAAATGCTGGATTTTATTATATTGATAGTATGGTAAATACATGTAGTCCTTGACTTATGATTACAATTGAGCCAAAATTTCTGTTGCTAAGTGAGACACTTAAGTGAATTTTGCCCCATTTTACAACCTTTCTTGCCACAAATGAATCACTGCAGTTGTTAAGTTAGTAACATAGTTGTTGAGTGAATCTGGCTTCCCCATTGACTTTGCTTATTAGGTCGCAACCATAATAAATATGAGTCAGTTACCAAGTATCTGAATTTTGATCACATAACCATGGGGATAAATGATAATGTCACTTTTTTCAGTGCCATTGTAACTTTGAACAGTCATTAAATGAACTATAGTAAGTCAAGGACTACCTGTAATAAATCAGGTATATGATAGAAAAATAGCCAGTATCAGTACTGTTAAGTACCATAAATTCGTGGCAGATTTGGTGGGAGATCAACTGAAAAATGTCGTAGTTTTCCAGGATCTTCATCTTTTCCAGTACATTGGGTAAATTTTATGTGCAGCCATATATGCATATACATTTTTATTGTGCCATTTTCACAAATAGAAAAACGTGTAGTAAATTTTCGGATTTTTTTTATGGCTGACTACATCCTTTTCAGTAGAGATTGTTAGTGTCACTGTTTTCTCCATGGGGTGTATTTATATGGTATTTGGGTATTATATATGATACGTATTATTCACAGATTTGGGGAAAAGTTCTGGAATTTATTTTCATGAAAATTCATGTTTGAAAATTGATCTTTAGGTTAGTTTTCCTTTCTGTCTTTTTTCTTTCATTCTTCAACGTTAATCTGGTAGGTTTTCTCCAATCACAATTGATGGGATGACAAGCCTTGTGGGGATGAATATTCCTGGCCATACTGGGACTGGATGGTGTATTTTTGTCTACAATTTATCACCTGACTCAGATGAAAGTGTGTTGTGGCAGCTGTTTGGGCCCTTTGGAGCAGTCAACAATGTCAAGGTGATCCGCGACTTCAATACCAACAAATGCAAAGGGTTCGGTTTTGTCACCATGACCAACTACGATGAAGCTGCTATGGCCATTGCCAGCCTTAATGGATACCGCTTAGGAGACAGAGTATTGCAAGTTTCCTTTAAAACCAACAAAACCCATAAATCCTGAATTTCATATCCTTAATAATTATTATTATAAATATATATAAATATATAAATATATATTCAAAAAAACTCTTCAAGGCTTATACTCAACCATGGACTTTTATAAGCCAGTGTTGCCTAAGTATTAAACATTGGATATCTTGTGAACAGGAAACGGATTTTATAATGCTTAGAAAAAAAAAACAAAAATCTTTGATGCATTGAATGTTCTTTCATAGCTGTTGTTGTTAAATATAATATACATAAATAACAAAGTGCAGGGATTTTTACCCGGCCAGCTAGTTTTACTATCTTCCTTGAAGGTGGATCTTTTTAAGATGACCATTTACTCATTTGAAAATAAATGAAAAACCTAAAATCATTTTTACAAACCACTGGAATTAGCAGATTTTGCTCTTTTTTCCAAAATGTTGATTCAATCAGATTGGTAAACCCCCAGGATAAATTAAAGAGGAATAATAAAAATTGCAAAACGAAATATAATTTTGCAACTCTTTTTTATTTTTCCTTTTTTCTTTTGTATCATGCGAACTAAACAGTCTTCTGTTAGGGATAGGGTAAAAGGGGGGGATACCTGATGACATAACAGTTTAAATAACATTAACAATGTTGCCAAAGAGGTGGTCTCTTTGCTGAAAATGGGTTTCAAGAAAAATCTATTTTTATAAAATATAAAGAATTTTTACAAGAGAATCTGGATTTGAGAAAAAAATATTTTGACTGGCTAATTTAGGGGAAATTGACAACTTTGTCATGTTCATACTGCACTGGTAACTTTTTAGAGATCAAGATGTGTGTTTTAAACTGGATTAAGTAGATTGTTTTTTGAAGGATGGGCTACAAACAGATGATCTTCGTATCTTTTCATAGCTTGTAATAAAATATTAAATACAGAACAGGAGAGTATTCTTCCCAGGCACACAGTTACCCACAGTCAAAACCCAAAAGCAAGGAGATGAGTTGCAGGATGGTTTTTCTTTAAGTCATCAGTATGGGATATCAGCAGAACAAAGTTTTGGAAAAAAATTAATTTTAATCAAAAACTTCCTTTGTTCAAGCAGTAGGTGCTACAAATTATTTACATATCTTAGTGTCATAGTTAAATGTAATGTGTTTAGAGGGAAAAAGTACATTTGCTTTTCTTTTGTTAAGAATTTTCAGATTCACTTTTTAGCCCATGCTGATATAAATTGGGCTATGTTGGCACATTCGAGACACTCTTTATGTTGCTTAAAACACTTATTTATTTAATTGCTGATGTGACGCATATGCCAAAATCAAATATTGCTAGTTTGGCTAGTCTACTTATTTGTTTACTTAAACTATGGGAAGAAGCATATTATTGTGTCATTTTGTTGTGTGTGTATGTGTATATATAATATAAATATATATATATATATATATAAAGTTATTTTTTTCTTTTGTTAACTTATTCTAAGTTGTAACACTTTGCTGGTTTTGTTTGTATATGTCTTAAAATGTTTTCTTATGATACTTAAGTGCAAAGAGGTATCAAGGTAATTTGTGTAGAAATATTGTTTGATATATTGTCATGTTTGTTGTGAATATTTTTTTTTCTTACTGCACAATAGAAACAAAAAACCTGAGTCTTTATTTTAATGTAATTCAGATTGGGGAAAACAGAGCTAAGGGAACAAAATGACTGAGGGAGCGCTCTCCCATGTCCAGTGCACTGATCCTTTTCGTATGTTTGTGCTTTGTATGGTTAATATATTTAAAACAAAAGAAGTCATGCTCTTCCCTGAGTACTAGAAACAGTTACTCGCTATGCATAATCTAGTTGATAGTTAAATTTGCTATTGCTTTTCTTGTCTTGTTATATAAAAACTTTTCAATACCAGTTTAGTCTTAATGGTAATAAAATGTTACAGTTCTTTCTAACCCGTGCTTTTTTGTGTATTTTTTCCCATGCTTATACTCATTAACTGCTTGTCAACTAAGTGATACTCATTTTGTTCCACAGAGAAAGGGCAAATATTTTATAAGCCAGCTGCAAAGCCATGGGTGCTCCCTAAGTTTCATTGTTCGTTTAAATTTCAAATGATTCTAGTTTAAAACAAGCAAGCAAAAATGAAGACACCATCATTCGGTGTATGAGGAAAAACTTGTCTACACCATCTCCTATGAATGAACAGAATTTGCCGGGAAACGTTTGATGCAGTTTCTAAGTATAAGTGGTGATGCATGCCCAGAACCTTTCTCTACAATATGTTTTAGTAATCTGAAAGAAAAATAAATCTTTCCTAGAATCAGGCAGTTTTATTGTTTAATTATAATGTAAGACTTCTTGTTTAATTTTCCCATTAGATTATTTCTTGAGGGAAGTATTATAAATGTTTTTTTCATAATCTTGTTATGTTTGAATTGTTTGTATTTAAATTATGCACACTATAAATGAAAGTGTGTAGAATGACTATGTGCTTGCTAACTTTTAAAATGTGTACAGGCATCTTAATAGCAACAGATGCATTATATTAGTTCCTAATCCAGTAGTTTCTAGGCCAGGGGTCTTCAAACTTGGCCCTTTTATGCTGGCTGAGGAATTCTGGGAGTTGAAGTCCACAAGTCATAAAAGGGCCAAGTTTGAAGACCCCTGGCCTAGGCATTTAATTGTGATTATCACAAGAGGGGTCCCAGAATGTTGCATCATACCTTATCTGCAATTGTTTGTATTTTAACAGAGAAGAATGGGTGGAATAGAGCTATATATAGTGCTTATATAATTTTCCTTGTTCTTCCATTCCATATTCTCTTCTGTCAATTGGATTTTCCATTCTACTATCTTCTAAATTTTCCAGCATGTGAGTCTTCAGAGAAGATTGACAAAGAAAAGAGAACTTGTGTTCAGAACCTTCATGAAACTTCATTTCATGTCTTTTAAATATTTCAAATTAGGATGGAAAGATGTTCCTGGAAGAGAAGCCTCAGACAAAATTCATTATTTTTTTAAAAAAGCATTTGATGTACCTTGAGAATGGACCTGAACATCTTGAGACCCTTCCCCATCATTATAGAACATCTCATTACAGACCTACATTTTGCGATTAGCTTTTGTTTGGTTGCAGTGATTGAAACCAGTCCTTCTCTGACATGCAATGGACTAAATCTATTTCCCAGCTACACTTGTGGGGAAGTACACCTGCTTGTGAAACAGGAAGAAATTACTTCATAGATTTTGCAATTGCATGATTTATTGAATGGAAACGAAGATACGTTTAGATTGGAAACAGTTTTTCATGTTTGTCAAATCCTGTTGTAAACAAGATAGGAAAAAAAGGAAAGGGGAAAATATATAAAAGTGAGTAACAACTACGAGACATACTTAGATTTGGAGAACATTATGTGCTTCTAGGGTCAGTTAATGAGTTTTATTTCTCAAGTGGCTGATCTCCCTGACTTGACCTTTTTTAGATATAGTGTGGGGGAAAAGGGGATTCTTCTTACAGAGAAATTATGGCATTGATCTAATAGCTATTGAACAATCATATGAATGCTAGATTCAATATGATACGTCATTTTACAATCATAATACTTAAATGGCCTTCAAATCTGCATTTAAGATTCTGAAATACAAAGTATCTCTAAAGGAAGATGGGTAACTTTTAGGATAAATTTAATCCTCAGACAATCAAGACTTCTTTTTCCCAGTTCTGGTAGCAAGAAAGAAAGCAGCATTCTCTTTCTGCCACCATCGTTCACCATAAATCTGTCTAACTTCTCTCACCCATTTTGCTGCTCTATTGATTTTTAAAATGTACGGTACGTATTATAATAGATGAACTGGAATTTGATCTGAAAGCATGCCCTGATTAATAATAGAAACTTCTTGAATCATCTTGAAGGCCGGAATAGCAGTTTACAAGCCACTCCAGCAGAATGTGTAGAAAGAAACTATAACCAACCATTGAATAATTTAATAGAGTGACTGACAGCTACCACCAAAAACTGTGTTTTAATGATAACAGAGTAATTGCAGCTAATGATAAAGGAAAGACTAGTGAGCATATGTGAAGGACTACAAAGAAGTTTTTGATCAGATGGCTTAACAACGTTTAAAGCTTATTTAAAGAATTGGTTGGTTACCAGAATGTTTTTAAATAATGCATTTATATTCATTATTTTTCATTAAAAAAGGTGTGTTCTAGAAAAATGGCAAATAATTCAAAGGCAGTAGCAGATGAATGCATGTGGAAATCCTTGAGTAGAGAATGAAAACTTCAATATTATAATCCAGGGAGAAGCCAACATTCCTCAAAATAATTCTTAATAAATATAATAGAATAAATTAAGCAACATGAACAGATTTTGAATTGTTGATTTTATATTTTGAAAAGATCTGATCCCCATAAGAAAACAATCACTGGCATCTATTAAGCATCTTTGCAACATCAGCTATTTACTTCTGCAGGGTAGAAATCCTTCAGACAAGCAGTATAAAATCTGTTAGTTTCCCCTTATGCCTCGGGTCCTGCAGAAATCAATAGCAGATACTTGGTCCACAACTGTAGTTCTTCACGTATTCATCAATGCATTCACATAATGCTAAGGACTGAACATGCACATACAGGTAGTTCTTAACTTACAACTGTGATCGGGACTGGATCGTCTTGCGAAAAGAATGCAGTCATTAAGTGAATCACGCACAATATTACAACCTTTTTGCTGAGATCATTAAGCAAATCTGGATTCTCTCCATTGTCTTTGTTTGTCGGAAGCACCCTTAGAAGATTGCAAGTGGTGATTGTGTGAAACCTCACCCTCCAGACACCAACTGTCATAAAACATGCTGGTTGCCAGACTCCCAAATTTTGATCACGTAACTGCAGGGATGCTGTGATGGTCATAAGTGCAAGGACCAGTCATAAGTCACTTTTTTACTGCTATTGTAACTTTGAATGTATATAAAACTAATGAGCCATGGTGGCACAGTGGTTAGAATGCAATACTGCAGGCTACTTCTGCTGACTGCCGGCTGCCAGCAAATTGATTCTCACGGGCTCAAGGTTGACTCAGTCTTCCATCCTTCCGACGTTGATAAAATGAGAACCCAGATTGTTGAGGGCAATATGCAGTCTCTGTAAACTGCTTAGAGAGGGTCATAAGCCAAATGAAGTGGTATATAAGTCTTATTGCTAAGTGCTATTGCTAATGTTCCTAAATTGAGGCCTACCTGTAATATTCTAAAGCTGAGGTGTACTGTACTTGTGCTCACATAGGGCAACACTATCTCTTCTCTGATTGTGGCTGTGTTTATATTACAGCTGTGCAAACTATATAAGATGAGAAGGGGAAAGAATAATTTCTGCAAATGCCCTAAAAACAATTTAAAGGATCAAGTAACTAGCTTGCTTTTTTCAGAACTTCTGTGCATCATTGAGATGGTTGAATCAAAGTCTAATTTACCAGACAACAGAAGATAAATTCTGAAAACAGAGACAAGATTGTCTGTACCAGAATTAGCCCATATATGAATATTAAAGATTGCACCAAGTAGTTTGTGAGAAAAAGACACCTTAGTCCTGGTTGCGTGACTTTTCACTATGGAAGTGTGAAGTAAAATTGTTAACTGGTATGTGAAGTATTTTGTATCATAAATAGAGTGTTCTAGTTATTGAAACAAAACTAGAAACCAGCAAACTATTATTCAGAAGGCAGCTGTGCATTGAGTATAAAACATTTACTATGTGATACTTATTTTTTATTTTTTTATGAAAAATAAAATAACAAAATAAGAGATGAATTGAAATTGCCTATATTGAACATCCCTAAAGTCATTGTAGATTATGTCAATGTATAGGTATAGCTGATCCTATTGTCACATATAGGCATGGTAGGTAGAAGTGATAGCCATGTCAAGTCATTTTGATTAAACTAGAACCCAGGAAAATATATAACCAAACATTCACAAGGTTTAAACTTGGATTTGGTAAGAAGTACCAATAGCATAAGCAAATTGGTAATACTAGTGATGAGAAATAGACCATTTTAGAACTTGGAAACAGGAAGGGAGGATCCTGCACAGTTATGAAATAAACATTTAATAACAAAAATACAAGGAATCAATAGGAACAAAGAGGGATGTATTTCCTGAAATACAAGAGATCTAGAATAGCTAGGCATAGGCATAGGTGGCTGCTAAAAAGAATGTCTGAGTACCCTAAGGTGGAAGCACTCCTGTTGGGAGGCCTGTATATTAGACTAGATGCCATTTCTAGAGTCAACTACCTAGCTAACAAAAGGAAAGTAGATTTAACAACTCCCAACTTGCACCATTAGACAGCCAAACAATCATCTTAAACCAAGGGTGTCCAATCTTGGCAACTTTTAAGAGTTCTGGAGATCAACTCCCAGAATTTTCCAGTCAGCATGACTCTTTGGGGAATTCTGGGAGTTGACATCAACAACTCTTAAACTTGCCGAGGTTGGACACCCCTGCTGTAAACAATATTTATGAAAATCAGGAAAAAAAACCCAAGAGATGTGTTAACTCAAGCATAATAGGGTTGGTTTGCTTTCCTCTCCTAAATTTAGCCCTACAATATTTTTTTTTAGAATTGGTAGAAGAGTTAAAATCTATACATATGATTTACAAAGTCCATGAAAACAGGATAATTAAATGTTATTTTTAATTTCCTTTGCATCTACCATATCTGTCTCCAAAAAGCAATTCTTTATCTTGAAATTTATTTGCTCTTAAAAAATAAAATATCTGTCCATGTTTTTCTCAAGTCCTTTCTATGCACCCCATAAAACTACTTTAGTGGCCAAAAAATGGAACAATATGTTAGATGATAGTGTGGTAATATTCAGAACTTTTGATAAAAATTATAGAGGTATTCTTTGACTTACAACAGTTCATTTAGTGACCGTTCAAAGTTACT